TGGATTCAATCAGTTGATGTTTGAAACTCTTCTAAATGATTCCTTGTAAACTTCTTCCTCTTCAGTCCTTTAAAGATGGAAGCTCCCATTATTCCAGGATCCTCATGTTGTTCTTCTGTCTGTATTCCACTCAAAGCTTCACAGTGAATATCAGTATGTTGTGTTTCTCTGAAGCTCAGTGCACAACCAGCTCCTCTGCATTTTCAACAACTCTGAGCTCATTAAAATGACTCCAAATGTTTGATTTCTCTTTCTTAATGGGATGTTTCCTTCATGGCTGAATAAGTGGACATCCAATAGTACTCAGTGTATCAAATATTAAAGACATTCCGCATCTCTCATGTTTCTGTTGTTCTATAAAAACAGCTAGTAACTGTCCCTGAGACAGTTAAAATAAAGTTGTTTATTTCATATGTTTCTGTGATAGATTCATGCTTAATTTAGTTCATCTATTTATTGGATAAGACGATAAAAGTGTAACATTGATTAAAAAACATGTCTAAAATATGTGATTACAAAATATGGGTTTGTTTAAATATGAAAAGTGCTGTAAAGTTCGTATGAGGTAGAGTTTGTAATGGTCACATGACCAGAGTTTGGCTGATAGCGCAACCATGGCATTGTGAGTAAGAACCAGGATGGATACAGAGCTACAGCTACAGTTACAACATTAATGTTATTCTGCCTGTGGTCCAAGAGGCGCACACGGTATGGTTCCATGTATATTGTTTATATAATGTTGCAGACATGTTCTACATTGGTAATAAGAGGACATTTTTAGTAATATCCATTATTTTGTTTTTTTTCTGTTCTGCTTGCTCAAGACTGTTTATGGAAACTAACATGAGAGACTCTGATAATATTAAAGACATTTATGTTGTAAACCTTGTGTTTCTTCAGTTTTCACGGTGTCTGAAGACAATAAGAGTGAGAGAGAGAAATAAATTTCAGTAGACATCAGTATGATGCGTGGCCATTCTTTGTTGGACCCCTGTAGTTACACAGCTGCTTTTAAAAACTGATCCAATCAAAGAAACATGAACTTCCATATTGATCAGATCAATACGTACAGCTCTGATGTCACTAACATCTCCTTGAAGTCTTCATTGATGGTGATTTGTGGCCCTCTGCTGGTGAGAAGATGAACTGCACGATGTCAGTTTAACACTAGATACTACACCTGCGCAAATTTGCATCACTTCCCTCAACCCAACACCTACTAGAATTACTGGGTTTTTTATTTTCTGGTGCAAGTCCCGAGGTGTTAATCACCCCTGCTGAGATTTTCACAGGTCGTCAGCTCGTTTCTCCTCCAGCTTTTGTTGTGCCAACCACCCATTATCCTTGAGGCCTGGCACATTTGCATTTGTTTACTCAGAGTAGCTCAGATCCAAGCCAGGCCAAACCTCTGTGTTACAACCTTCACAAATGTCTGCCGTATCTATACAAAATATCCCACACATTGACTGAGCTGCAAATATGAAAGACACACATTCACACCTTCCTTTACTCTCAGCACAGATCTTCCATTGTTCCATTGTGACTGTGTATGTGTTGGAGTGGCATTGCATTACTACAGCACAGTGCTGTGCATAAAAGCAGACCGACCCAGGCGGGAGAATCATTTCTTCTTCGCATTTCTGAGAACGCAAATCAGGATGGCCTCTGTATCACTCCCACGCAGGAAGAACCTCTCTGCACAACAGGCTTTGGCCTTGCTTCAGGAAATGGACAAAGCAGACTCTGATGGAGGAG